TACGTAATTGACGTGTACAAGGGTGTCCCGGGGCATAGAGCCCTAATAATAATTCAAACAATTACAATAGGACAATATGATTACCATCATAATCTTGACGATCCCACTCTTCATACACACACGAAATTTGGTCGAAATCGGACCAGTAGTTTCCGAGTAACAAGTGTTCGAAGGTCTGCTAATCAGAGGTCTGCTGTACGGCAGCTTGTGGCAGGGTGACAGGCAGGGTGGCAGGCCGGGTGGTAGGGGGTCAACTAGTCCGGGAGCGTAGCTCCCTTGTCCATTGAGCTACAGTCAAACGGATGAGTGTTCTGACTTGGCCAGGACCCCGGGTTTCTGTCGCATTGCATAGATAAAGTACTGACACTGTTTCCGATCTCGTCCATGTTCGAATCCCCAATTGGTTTGGTTGTACCGATGCCGTCTAAAGTAAGGAAACGCTTGTGAGACATCGCCTCTACGACATTGATGTGTCCCAGAACGTCCTGGGATGTCCTGAACCCATTCTACACGCCGTCCATGTTTGAATCTGCATATGGTTTGCATGTACCAACGCCTTCAAAAGTAAGGAAACGCTTGCGAGACATTGCCTCTACGACAGTGATGTGTCCCAGAACGTCCCGGGATGTTCTACACCAATTTCTGACGCCGTCCATGTTCGAAGACACTGTGAAAACCCTGAATCCAAAATGGCTGCCAAACCACGTGGCCAGTGGCCAAAGTTAAAGAACAAAAGATGTCAAGCATCTAAAGCAGCAGGCACACGTAGATTGTGAAAGTAATCGGAGTAACGGTTTCAGAGCAGCGGGACAAAATACATCTCACGCCACTAGTAAGTGAGTGAGTATGGTTTTACGCCGCTTTTAGCAATATTCCAGCAATATCACGGCGGTGAACCTGAAATTGGTTTCACACATTGTACCCATGTCAGGAATTGACAGGTTTTCGGCGTGACGAGCGAACGCTTTAACCACAAGGCTACCCGACCGCCCCTCATACCAATAAATCATTTAGTTCCAGTCAATTTGAATCCACTTTATAAATGCAGTGCACATGAGTATGTTATAGTGTAATTTATTACTTCATATGTCATCAGTCCGTTTTGACAAAATTGGCGGGAGCCAGAGCATTCTTGGTTGATCTGAACCCATTCCAGTTCTTGTTCATATTTGAATCCTCAAATGGATTCTTTGTACCAATGCCGTCAAATATAGACGCCGCTACGTAATTGACGTGTACAAGGGTGTCCCGGGGCATAGAGCCCTAATAATAATTCAAACAATTACAATAGGACAATATGATTACCATCATAATCTTGACGATCCCACTCTTCATACACACACGAAATTTGGTCGAAATCGGACCAGTAGTTTCCGAGTAACAAGTGTTCGAAGGTCTGCTAATCAGAGGTCTGCTGTACGGCAGCTTGTGGCAGGGTGACAGGCAGGGTGGCAGGCCGGGTGGTAGGGGGTCAACTAGTCCGGGAGCGTAGCTCCCTTGTCCATTGAGCTACAGTCAAACGGATGAGTGTTCTGACTTGGCCAGGACCCCGGGTTTCTGTCGCATTGCATAGATAAAGTACTGACACTGTTTCCGATCTCGTCCATGTTCGAATCCCCAATTGGTTTGGTTGTACCGATGCCGTCTAAAGTAAGGAAACGCTTGTGAGACATCGCCTCTACGACATTGATGTGTCCCAGAACGCCCTGGGATGTCCTGAACCCATTCTACACGCCGTCCATGTTTGAATCTGCATATGGTTTGCATGTACCAACGCCTTCAAAAGTAAGGAAACGCTTGCGAGACATTGCCTCTGCGACAGTGATGTGTCCCAGAACGTCCCGGGATGTTCTACACCAATTTCTGACGCCGTCCATGTTCGAAGACACTGTGAAAACCCTGAATCCAAAATGGCTGCCAAACCACGTGGCCAGTGGCCAAAGTTAAAGAACAAAAGATGTCAAGCATCTAAAGCAGCAGGCACACGTAGAGTGTGAAAGTATTCGGAGTAACGGTTTCAGAGCAACGGGACAAAATACATCTCACGCCACTAGTAAGTGAGTGAGTATGGTTTTACGCCGCTTTTAGCAATATTCCAGCAATATCACGGCGGGGGACACCAGAAATTGGTTTCACACATTGTACCCATGTCAGGAATCGAACCAGGGTTTTCGGTGTGACGAGCAAACGCTTTAACCACAAGGCTACCCGGCCGCCCCTCATACCAATAAATCATTTAGTTCCAGTCATTTGAATCCACTTTATAATGCAGTGCACATGAGTATGTTATAGTGTAATTTATTACTTCATATGTCATCAGTCCGTTTTGACAAAATTGGCGGGAGCCAGAGCATTCTTGGGTGTTCTGAACCCATTCCAGTCCTTGTTCATATTCGAATCCTCAAATGGATTCTTTGTACCAATGCCGTCAAATAAGGACGCCGCTACGTAATTGACGTGTACAAGGGTGTCCCGGGGCATAGAGCCCTAATAATAAATCGAACGATTAAAATAGGACAATATGAACACAATAATAATCTAGACGATCCCAATCTACATACACACACGAAATTTGGTCAAAATCGGACCAGTAGTTTCCACGTTACAAGTGTTTAAAGGTCTGCTATTCAGAGGTCTGTTGTACGGCAGCTTGTGGCAGGGTGACAGGCAGGGTGTCAGGCCGGGTGGCAGGCCGGGTGGCAGGGGGTCAAATAGTCCGGGAGCATAGCTCCCTTGTCCATTGAGCTACAGTCAAACGGATTAGTGTTCTGACTTCGCCAGGACCCCGGGTTTCTGTCGCATTGCTTAGATAAGGTGCTGAACCTGTTTCCGACCTCGTCCATGTTCGAATCCCCAATTGGTTTGGTTGTACCGATGCCGTCCAAAGTAAGGAAACACTTGCAAGACATAGCCTCTACGACATTGACGTGTCCCAGAACGTCCCGGAATGTTCTACACCCATTTCAGACGCCGTCCATGTTCGAATCCGCATATGGTTTGCTTGTACCAACGCCGTCACATGCAAGGAACCGCTTGCGAGACATCACCACATGTGTCCCAGTGAGTTTTTAACTCACGTTTGACTTTGTTCGAATCCTCAAATGGTTTGCTTGTAACAATGCCGTCAAATGTAAGGAACTGCTTGTGAGACATCACCACAACGAAATTGTCATGTGCCTGGGTGTCCCATAGTGTTTTAACCAATTTCCGACATCGACCATGTTCGAATCCTCAAATGGTTTGCTTGTACCAACGCCGTTAAAAGACAGACACCACTTGCAGAACATTGCCGCTACGAAATTGGCGTGTGCCGGAGTGTCAGAGGGCTACTTAACTCATTTCCGACCTCGACCATGTTTGAATCCTTATATGGTTTGCTTGTACCATCGCGTCTAATTTAAGCAGCGCTTGCGGGACATCGCCGCTACGAAATTGATGGCTCTGGGGTATACCCTTTATCTTCTAAACCCATTTCTGACTTCGACCATGTTTAAATCCTAAACTGGTTTGCTTGTACCAACTCCGTCCAATGTAGGCAGCGGTTGCCAACATTGCCGCTATGACATTCGCATGTGCCGGGTGTCAAAGGCTGTTCTAAACCTATCTACGACCTCGAATCCTCATGTTCGAATCCACAAAGGGTTTGCTTGTACCAACTCAGTCAAAAGATAGTCACCGTTTGCAGGACGTCACCGCTCCGAAATTGAGCGTGCCAGAGTGAATCAGAGTGTTCTAAATCCATTTCAGACCTAGACCATGTTCGAATCCTCAAATGGTTTGTTTGTACCAACGTCGTAAAACATAGTAACTGCAGGCAGGTTGGACATGGCCGCAAGAAATTGGCTTGTTCTGGGGGTGTCGGGGGGCACGGGTGGCCCAGCCGTCAAAAGTAAGCCTTTTGCAATTGGGAAATAAATTAGCAAGTCAGGGAGCCTGACCACCCAATCCTGATAATCACCTATCAAGACAAGCATGGGCTGCTGAAGACCAATTCTAACCCTCATCTTCAAGAGTAGTCTACAGTCAAAGGGAAATAATCCTACCTAGATTTTACGAGGCTTCATTCTTAGTATTTTTGAAATAAATAATCACATATTACCACCAAGCAGTGTTACTTTTAGCATGCAACCAAGAACACAAAATGAAGTACATATGTGAAACTAACTTCATGCAAACTTTCAATAGTTTCTTTAAAGAACCTTACAAGATATGATCTTGAAATTAAAATTTCGGTGATGAAAATCAAAATCAAATTTTGCCGCAACTATCAAAGATGGCCAATGACAGCTATTAAAATATTGATTTGTTGTGTATGGAGACAATTCTCAGAAAGTTTGGAAGCATTTGATTAAGCGGATTCAGAGTTCCATGCTTTTGAAGACATGTACCCCCCAAACACTGGGAAAACCTTGAATTCAATATGGCTGCCAAACCACGTGACCAATGGCCAAGGTCAAAGAACAAAAAATGGCAGGCACCTAAAGCAGCAGACACATGCCAATTTTGAAAGTAATCGGACAAGCGGTTTGGGAGCAATAGGCCAACATAAATGTTCAAAAAAATCTTGTTTTTTGGTTATCTGCCCTTGGTCTTTGGGCCTACGGCATTGGGATTTTTGTGATATCTGCTTCAGAACATTGGGAATCTTGGTACCAATTTTGAAGAGATTCTGAGCTGTAGTTATTGAGTTATGATTGGAACAAAAAACGCCGGAATAATAATAATAATAATAATAATAAAGAATAATAATAATAATAATAATAATAATAATAATAAATCGAACGATTACAATAGGTCTCTTGCCTTTCAGGCATAGAGCCCTAATAATAATAATATCATCATCATCATCATCATCATTATCATTATATTATTGTTGTTGTTGTTGTTGTTATTATTATTATTATTATTAAAACAATTGTCGCTTTAATTCTGGGTACATAAAGGTGCAGCTGTCACGCGACTACTGTTACATAATTGATATTGCATATGGTAATCCTCACCCTTCCAGGCCGGCACCCAAGGTTAAAGAACGTATGCCCTTCCTCGCTGATGTATTTGTCACTAATACATTGCTGGAATATAAAACAATATTCGCTCTTCATGATAGTTATTAAAAAATGTTACAAGAAAATCATAAGACATATTTCTTTTTATTTCTTCCTGCGAGCTCTTAGACAAATGTATTCATTTCGAATCATTTCTCTATAAAACATGTCGTGGCACTTATTTTCTTATCTTCTCAAGTATTTATAGACATCTGCTGTTTTGACACATACTCAAATTCCAAAGTAACTGGAAATTTATTGAAATGTTTTTCCACATTGTGCTAACCAATGCTGGTTCACTTGTCACAGTAGCATGTGGCGTTACCCATGGGGTCATTACGGTCCCCACATTATAGGGTGACATGATCACGTGTCGGGGTAAGCTCATGTCTGTCTCACAGCAGGAGAGAGAGAAACAGAGAGAGAGAGAGAGAGAGAGCGAGAGAGAGAGAGAGAGAGGGAGAGAGAGAGAGAGATGGAGAAAGGGAGCGAGAGAGAGAACAAAAGAGTAAGAGAGATTGGAGGGGAGATACAGAAAGAGGGAGACAGAGAAAGACTGAGGCAGAGCGACAGAGAGAAAAAAGCAGAGAGAGAGTGAGCGGGAGAGAGAACTAGAGAGAGAGAGCGAGATGGATAGAGAGAGGGGGAAATAGGGCGAGCGAGAGGGAGGAAAAAAGGAGAGAGAACAAGAGAGACCGAGATAGATAGAGAGATGGGGAGGTAGAGAGAGGTAGATAGAGAGAGGGGCAAATAGAGAGGGTAGAAAGAGGAAAGGCTGAGAGAGAGCTAGAAAGAGAGAGAGGGGGTACAGAGAGAAGGAGACAGAAAGTCTGAGGGCGAGCGAGAGGGAGGAAAAAGGAGGGAGAACAAGAGAGAGTGAGATAGATAGAGAGAGGGGGGAGGTAGAGAGGGTAGACAGAGTAAAGGCTGACAGAGAGAGAGCGAGATAGATATAGAGAGGGGGGAGGTAGAGAGAGGTAGACGGAGTAAAGGCTGACAGAGAGAAAGCGAGATACATAGAGAGAGGGGGAAATAGAGAGGGTAGACAGAGTAAAGGCTGACACAGAGAGAGCGAGATAGACAGAGAGAGGGGGAAATAGAGAGGGTAGACAGAGTAAAGGCTGACACAGAGAGAGCGAGATAGACAGAGAGAGGGGGAGGTAGAGAGGGTAGACAGAGTAAAGGATGACACTGAGGGAGCGAGATAGATAGAGAGAGGGGGAAATAGAGAGGGTAGACAGAGTAAAGGCTGACAGAGAGAGAGCGAGATAGATAGAGAGAGGGGGGAGGTAGAGAGGGTAGACAGAGTAAAGGCTGACAGAGCGAGAGCGAGATAGACAGAGAGAGGGGGAGGTAGAGAGGGTAGACAGAGTAAAGGCTGACAGAGAGAGAGAGAGAGAGCGAGATAGATAGAGAGAGGGGGAGGTAGAGAGGGTAGACAGAGTAAAGGCTGACAGAAAGAGAGCGAGATAGATAGAGAGAGGGGAGGTAGAGAGGGTAGACAGAGTAAAGGCTGACAGAGAGAGAGCGAGATAGACAGAGAGAGGGGGGAGGTAGAGAGGGTAGACAGAGTAAAGGCTGGCACAGAGAGAGCGAGATAGATAGAGAGGGGGAAAATAGAGAGGGTAGACAGAGTAAAGGCTGACAGAGAGAGAGCGAGATAGATAGAGAGAGGGGGAGGTAGAGAGGGTAGACAGAGTAAAGGCTGACAGAGAGAGAGAGAGAGAGAGAGAGCGAGATAGATAGAGAGAGGGGGAAATAGAGAGGGTAGACAGAGTAAAGGCTGATAGAGCGAGATAGACAGAGAGAGGGGGGAGGTAGAGAGGGTAGACAGAGTAAAGGCTGACAGAGAGAGAGCGAGATAGATAGAGAGGGGGGAAATAGAGAGGGTAGACAGAGTAAAGGCTGACAGAGAGAGAGCGAGATAGATAGAGAGAGGGGGGAGGTAGAGAGGGTAGACAGAGTAAAGGCTGACAGAGCGAGAGCGAGATAGACAGAGAGAGGGGGAGGTAGAGAGGGTAGACAGAGTAAAGGCTGACAGAGAGAGAGAGAGAGAGCGAGATAGATAGAGAGAGGGGGAAATAGAGAGGGTAGACAGAGTAAAGGCTGACAGAGAGAGAGAGAGAGAGAGAGAGAGAGAGAGAGAGAGAGAGATAGAGAGAGGGGGAAATAGAGAGGGTAGACAGAGTAAAGGCTGAGAGCGAGCGAGGGAACGAGAAAAAAGGAGAGAGGAGATTCATAAAATGTCATCAGATACCTAACACAACACGTTTCACGACACAGACACAGCTATTATCAGTGCAATATTAACCCTATTCATAACGGCTTTCGTGCGGTAAATAGCATGTTAATGACGATTGGTACACAACCAATTGTATACGTTTCTTCCATTTGAAAAATGGTTCAAGGAAAGTATATAAACATTTACCATAGGCTGAATGATAGAAAAGAACATATTTATTTTATTATGAACTTCTGAAAACACAAGGCAATTAATGAACGTGAGACTAACACTAACAGCTTTATCTCATGGCCTAACACCTTAACGAACTGACCTCTCCAGCGCTGCATGTGGCCACGTTCTCGCAGTCCTCAGGACGTTCACGTTCGTTACAGCTGTAGCAGTGACGTTGCCCATTGGCGTGAACTGACGTAGATGCGAGAAAGACGTAAATTTGTTTGTTTCTTGTTTACGCCGAAATCAGATGCGATCATTTTGTTGGACGAAGAGTGAGTGAGTGAGTATGGTTTAACGCCGCTTTTAGCAATATTCCAGCAATATCACGGCGGGGGGACACCAGTTGGACGAAGAGAATGTAAACTGTGAAATACATGTTTTGTCACGTTTCAGTATCACTTCATCTCTATGGTGAACTGTCGTAGACGGGAGAAAGACGTAGATTGGTTTATATCTTTTTTACCAGATAAATTCATTGTTTTTAAAGAAGTGAAAAGTGTGATGACTGTAAAATACTTGTTTTGTCACTTGCATCGCTACGATAACGTCACCCTGAGCTTGACGAACCAGTGACCAGAAACAATATTTCAGTTTTACATTGGCGTGCCGGCCCAATGAGAGGAGAAAGCCCGATATGGTGCAGGTCGGAGACGTTACCACTTCAAACTGCAGTCAGCAATATTACAGCTATATGACTGCTCATTCCGTGCTCCGACACACGCACTTTAACACCGGACCGGATCACCCGATGCAAGACCTGTGAAGATCCGGGGTAGAATAGGTCTTCAGCAACGCATGCTTGCCGAAAAAGGCGACTATGCTTGTCGTATGATGCAACTAACGGGATCGGGTGGTCAGGCTTGTTGACGTGGTTGATGCTTATCATCGTATCCTAATTGCGTAGGCCGATGCTTGTGATGTCAAGTACTGGATTGTCTGGTCCAGGCTCGATTATTTACAGACCGCCGTCATACAGATGGAATATTGCTGAGTGCGGCGTTAAACAACAAACAAACAAACAAAGAAAGTTACTAGGGACCCCTTCTAGTCCAGAACCCGCGCGGGGTCAAGACTAATCGTCCACTTGGACGATAAGCACACTTTTCACATTATTAGCATGTCAAAATATTTGAGAATCTTACTGTGAACATTTCTTGTTTAGGGTAGAAATGTTATAGAAGACCTATGTATATTAATGCGATTCCTAAATTTTGGAGACCTTAGGAACAGCGATTTGTCCTCTCTAATACTTACTCGTTAGTATGGAAATGACAATGAAAGATACGAGACGAAGCATGTTGGCTGATCCTGTGTTGAGATGAGTATGTCAGCCAGTTGTATGGAATGGTCGAGGTGCGGCCATAGATAGGACATGTTTAATTTTAGAATAATCTTCCCTAAATATGCTGGAACAAGATAAGAGATTAAATAATACATTTCTGTTTGGCTGAAAACGACCAGGTGATACCGTAGTCTCAGTGTTGTAAAAGTACCATAAATAAAATTGGTAGAGTGACAAAACATTCATAAGACACTATTTCATACGGGATGATAAAATCGAAGTTGATAAGGATAATCATTTTCGTCATAATATATTACAGCATCCCCCATTATATATATACACATATCTTAGATAATTATAAAGGTTGGCAACTTTGATCACAAGACACTGCAACCATCAATCCACGAAAGGGGGTGAATAATGACTTCAAAGAGCTACAGTCATGTCTGGGACTCACCTGTACACCTGTACTCCTTAACAAACGTTTCAAATGGTCGTTGTTTTTAATTTAAATATATTCCTATTAAGCATGGAGGACACACACACGTATACAACGCACACCACCAACTTCCAAGCAATGAATACTTGTGTCTCGACGTTTTGGCTGTCTCCAAGTCGTCGCTTATAAAAACAGTAATTTCATAAAAATAATAGTAATGCTATTCACTTTGCATTATCCTGCACGTGGCGCACGTGCAAGTTTGGAGGAACTATCCAGAGTTGCCTACTCTGAATGGATATATCTTCAGCTGTGATATGAAAGACTGCAGTGAGAAATACATCTTTATATCAAGAGGCAGCTTATTTCCGCTCATTGTATACATAAATTGTAACTACTGAGAGTGTTGCGATTGTAAAGTCCATGTGTAACTACAGAGGATGTAGTGGTTGTAAAATCCACGTGTAACTACAGAGGATGTAGTGGTTGTAAATTCCATATGTCACTACAGAGGGTGTCACGGTTGTAAAGACCATGTGTAACTACACAGGGTGTCACGGTTGAAAAACCCATGTACATGTGTAACCTCAGAGGGTGAAGTGTTGTAAAGTCCATGTGTAACTACAGAGGATGTAGTGTTGTAAAGTTCATGTATAACTACAGAGGATTTAGTGTTGTAAAGTCCATGTGTAACTACAGAGGGAGTAGTGTTGTAAAGTTCATGTGTAACTACAGAGGATGTAGTGTTGTAAAGTTCATGTGTAACTACAGAGGATGTAGTGTTGTAAAGTCAATGTGTTACTACAGAGGATGTAGTGTTGTAAAGTTCATGTGTACTACAGAGGATGTAGTGTTGTAAAGTTCATGTATAACTACAGAGGATGTAGTGTTGTAAAGTCCATGTGTAACTACAGAGGATGTAGTGTTGTAAAGTTCATGTGTAACTACAGAGGGTGTAGTGTTGTAAAGTCAATGTGTAACTACAGAGGATGTAGTGTTGCAAAGTCAATGTGTAACTACAGAGGATGTAGTGTTGTAAAGTTCATGTGTAACTACAGAGGATGTAGTGTTGTAAAGTTCATGTGTAACTACAGAGGATGTAGTGTTGTAAAGTTCATGTGTAACAACAGAGGATGTAGTGTTGTAAAGTTCATGTGTAACTACAGAGGGTGTAGTGTTGTAAAGTCCATGTATAACTACAGAGGATGTAGTGTTGTAAAGTTCATGTGTAACTACAGAGGGTGTAGTGTTGTAAAGTCAATGTGTAACTACAGAGGATGTAGTGTTGAAAAGTCAATGTGTAACTACAGAGGATGTAGTGTTGTAAAGTCCATGTGTAACTACAGAGGATGTAGTGTTGTAAAGTTCATGTGTAACTACAGAGGATGTAGTGTTGTAACGTCCATGTGTAACTACAGAGGATGTAGTGTTGTAAAGCTCATGTGTAACTACAGAGGGTGTAGTGTTGTAAAGTCAATGTGTAACTACAGAGGATGTAGTGTTGAAAAGTCAATGTGTAACTACAGAGGATGTAGTGTTGTAAAGTCCATGTGTAACTACAGAGGATGTAGTGTTGTAAAGTTCATGTGTAACAACAGAGGATGTAGTGTTGTAAAGTTCATGTGTAACAACAGAGGGTGTAGTGTTGTAAAGTTCATGTATAACTACAGAGGGTGTAGTGTTGTAAAGTCCATGTATAACTACAGAGGATTTAGTGTGGTAAAGTTCATGTGTAACTACAGAGGGTGTAGTGTTGTAAAGTTCATGTGTAACTACACAGGGTGTAGTGTTGTAAAGTCCATGTGTAACTACAGAGGATGTAGTGTTGTAAAGTCAATGTGTAACTACAGAGGATGTAGTGTTGTAAAGTTCATGTGTAACTACAGAGGATGTAGTGTTGTAAAGTCAATGTGTAACTACAGAGGGTGTAGTGTTGTAAAGTTCATGTGTAACTACAGAGGATGTAGTGTTGTAAAGTTCATGTGTAACTACAGAGGATGTAGTGTTGTAAAGTCAATGTGTAACTACAGAGGATGTAGTGTTGCAAAGTCAATGTGTAACTACAGAGGATGTAGTGTTGTAAAGTTCATGTATAACTCCAGAGGGTGTAGTGTTGTAAAGTCCATGTGTAACTACAGAGGATGTAGTGTTGTAAAGTTCATGTGTAACTACAGAGGGTGTAGTGTTGTAAAGTCAATGTGTAACTACAGAGGATGTAGTGTTGTAAAGTTCATGTGTAACTACAGAGGGTGTAGTGGTTGTAAAGTTCATGTGTAACAACAGAGGGTGTAGTGTTGTAAAGTTCATGTGTAACTACAGAGGATGTAGTGTTGTAAAGTCCATGTGTTACTACAGAGGGTGTACTGTTGTAAAGTTCATGTGTAACTACAGAGGATGTAGTGTTGTAAAGTTCATGTGTAACAACAGAGGGTGTAGTGTTGTAAAGTTCATGTGTAACAACAGAGGATGTAGTGTTGTAAAGTCAATGTGTAACTACAGAGGATGTAGTGTTGTAAAGTTCATGTGTAACAACAGAGGGTGTAGTGTTGTAAAGTTCATGTATAACTACAGAGGGTGTAGTGTTGTAAAGTCCATGTGTAACTACAGAGGATGTAGTGTTGTAAAGTCAATGTGTAACTACAGAGGATGTAGTGTTGTAAAGTTCATGTGTAACTACAGAGGATGTAGTGTTGTAAAGTCAATGTGTAACTACAGAGGGTGTAGTGTTGTAAAGTTCATGTGTAACTACAGAGGATGTAGTGTTGTAAAGTTCATGTGTAACTACAGAGGATGTAGTGTTGTAAAGTCAATGTGTAACTACAGAGGATGTAGTGTTGCAAAGTCAATGTGTAACTACAGAGGATGTAGTGTTGTAAAGTTCATGTATAACTCCAGAGGGTGTAGTGTTGTAAAGTCCATGTGTAACTACAGAGGATGTAGTGTTGTAAAGTTCATGTGTAACTACAGAGGGTGTAGTGTTGTAAAGTCAATGTGTAACTACAGAGGATGTAGTGTTGTAAAGTTCATGTGTAACTACAGAGGGTGTAGTGGTTGTAAAGTTCATGTGTAACAACAGAGGGTGTAGTGTTGTAAAGTTCATGTGTAACTACAGAGGATGTAGTGTTGTAAAGTCCATGTGTTACTACAGAGGGTGTACTGTTGTAAAGTTCATGTGTAACTACAGAGGATGTAGTGTTGTAAAGTTCATGTGTAACAACAGAGGGTGTAGTGTTGTAAAGTTCATGTGTAACAACAGAGGATGTAGTGTTGTAAAGTTCATGTGTAACAACAGAGGGTGTAGTGTTGTAAAGTTCATGTGTAACTACAGAGGGTGTAGTGTTGTAAAGTTCATGTATAACTACAGAGGATGTAGTGTTGTAAAGCTCATGTGTAACTACAGAGGGTGTAGTGTTGTAAAGTTCATGTGTAACTACAGAGGGTGTAAGGTTGTAAAGTCAATGTGTAACTACAGAGGATGTAGTGTTGAAAAGTCAATGTGTAACTACAGAGGATGTACTGTTGTAAAGTCCATGTGTAACTACAGAGGATGTAGTGTTGTAAAGTTCATGTGTAACTACAGAGGATGTAGTGTTGTAACGTCCATGTGTAACTACAGAGCATGTAGTGTTGTAAAGTCAATGTGTAACTACAGAGGATGTAGTGTTGAAAAGTCAATGTGTAACTACAGAGGATGTAGTGTTGTAAAGTTCATGTATAACTCCAGAGGGTGTAGTGTTGTAAAGTCCATGTGTAACTACAGAGGGTGTAGTGTTGTAAAGTCAATGTGTAACTACAGAGGATGTAGTGTTGTAAAGTTCATGTATAACTACAGAGGGTGTAGTGGTTGTAAAGTTCATGTGTAACAACAGAGGGTGTAGTGTTGTAAAGTTCATGTGTAACTACAGAGGATGTAGTGTTGTAAAGTCCATGTGTTACTACAGAGGGTGTACTGTTGTAAAGTTCATGTGTAACTACAGAGGATGTAGTGTTGTAAAGTTCATGTGTAACAACAGAGGGTGTAGTGTTGTAAAGTTCATGTGTAACAACAGAGGATGTAGTGTTGTAAAGTTCATGTGTAACAACAGAGGGTGTAGTGTTGTAAAGTTCATGTGTAACTACAGAGGGTGTAGTGTTGTAAAGTTCATGTATAACTACAGAGGATGTAGTGTTGTAAAGTTCATGTGTAACTACAGAGGGTGTAGTGTTGTAAAGTTCATGTGTAACTACAGAGGGTGTAGTGTTGTAAAGTCAATGTGTAACTACAGAGGATGTAGTGTTGAAAAGTCAATGTGTAACTACAGAGGATGTAGTGTTGTAAAGTCCATGTGTAACTACAGAGGATGTAGTGTTGTAAAGTTCATGTGTAACTACAGAGGATGAAGTGTTGTAACGTCCATGTGTAACTACAGAGGATGTAGTGTTGTAAAGTTCATGTGTAACTACAGAGGGTGTAGTGTTGTAAAGTCAATGTGTAACTACAGAGGATGTAGTGTTGAAAAGTCAATGTGTAACTCTGAGGATGTAGTGTTGTAAAGTTCATGTGTAACCACAGAGGATGTAGTGTTGTAAAGTTCATGTGTAACTACAGAGGATGTAGTGTTGTAAAGTTCATGTGTAACTACAGAGGGTGTAGTCCTGTAAAGTT